AGACAGTAGAACCTAGAGTGTAATTTAATTGCTCACATACCTGATCCAAGCTAAATGCAGTGATTCTCCAGGCTCCACTGACTATAAATCACATTACTACTGATTATGAAAGGAGCTTAAACACGTGAGCAATGTAGACTTGCATTAATTTTGAAGTTATACCTCACTATACTAACTTTATAGTGAACTTGGATTCCAACTTTTGAAGCTCTGAAGCACAGCTACATTCAACACAGCAAAAAAAGCACCTCCCTTGTCAGATATCAAGTGAATTTATTTTCTGAATTTAAGGTACTCCACATTGGGAGGCAAACTACACCAGCATCACAAAAATCACTAGAGAACTAGTTTGCTATAAATTTACATGTCAATTTATTTTTCGTAGACTGCTCTACATCCACAAACTTCTAGCTGTCATTACCTGTCCAAGAATAACAATAAAAAATATTAACATCAAGAAATGGCAAACCTTAAGGCTAAATATGGGCTATCTGACCATTTTTATAGATTAAAGACCAGGCAGGATGATCTTACCAGCAGAATGAATCTTAGAGGCTGGAGAAAAGGAGAGACTGATTTGGGCATTGGTGCACTGAATGTAAAATTGCCTCTCCATTCAGATGTGTGTCTAGTGTGTGCAATTCTGAGTTAAGTGTACACACAGACACCCTTCTAGGGCTGATAAATGCCAAGTCCATTGCTCAGTGGGCCCCCCAAGCTGCTCGGCACGTGTCTTGGGATCTACAAGGTTCACAAGTAAACAACACTGCTGTTGACATTTTTAACAACAAAAACAACACCAGTCCAGGAAACTGGAGCCACAAAAAACCTCCTCATATAAACAGATGCAGGAATGATCAACACTTTTCCTGCTCCAGAGGCACATAAAACAACCAGATTTTCAAACCCAGAGTGGGCCAGACAGGATGACACTGTGAGAATCATTGAGCCCTGTAGTTCCCACCACTACAACAGGAGAGGTGAGAAGAGATCTCGGGAAAATGCAGAAGCATCAGAGGGAATATTAAGCACAGGAGACAGAATAGATCTGAGTATAGTTTGCTTCCACTGAGAAACCATACTTCTTTAGACATATATTTCTGCTACAAAGGACCAAGACAAGCCACCTGGGCTGGGAGATAAAGGAGCTTACAAAGTTCATCATTTTCCTCTAATGGGCAAGAACTGTCACACCTGAGACTTTTCATAGACTAAACCATAACACTAAAATGAAGTACAGCCTGGGAGTTATATAAAACTATTCCCTATCAGAAATTTTAAAGAAATAAATCTGCATATGGAATATTAAACCAACCATTTTGGATAGACAGAGCATCTTTCTTATTTTGGATATACGTAAATGCGATAGTTAAATATCTAAAATATCAGAATTGTGCAACAATTTTAAGAATTCTTTTTACAGAATTTGTGAGTGTTCAACAGTGCAAAATTAGTTTTGCATCAGCATTTTACATTTAAATACAGAAAATAATAGAAATAATAGAAAATAATAAGGTAGCAATGGGAAGTTATCTTCATAATTGATCACTTTTATATGACTTCCTGGAGCACTAACATCAATTATGCTTCTATGTCAAAACAATGTTGGCACACTGCCAGCGAAGACTCACATCAGGACCGGTGATTTGTTAATTTATTCTTTTTTGGTAATCAGTGGATGGTTCAGTCAACTCTTGATTGTCAAACACAAACAGTGGAAACAATGTAACCAAGCCAGCATCACTGCTGTACACTTGAACAAAAGTCAAACATATATTTTAATTTGCTTCTTTTTTTGGGTCTGCAGTCAGACACCTGTATGTGCAGCATCGACTGGCTGCAGTTAGTAGAATCTATCTCCTAGGAAACAGGTGATTTCTGATTATCACAGTATGACACAACAAGGCATGTACATGTTCAGAAGCCTTAATTTTTATTTCAGTCCCATATGTAATCAGTTTTATCAAGGAACCGTTCGATGCTGCTGATAAAAACTGACATGGCTTTCAGTATTTCGTGACACAAACAAAAGTTTCTTTTCCTCAGCTACCTGATAATGCTTTTCCGGCTACAGCAGGTTGGGTGCTTCTTGCTCTGCAACACATTGCTGCATATGAAAAACCCCTATCAAAACAGGATATCCAAGGCAATCATTAATCTCATGAACATGAAAACACGGTCCACATTCCCAAGTAAAGAGAATGGCTTCAGATGCCAGTGTTGGCTTGCAGTCTTTCATCAGTGAGCCTGACCCTCACATAAACAACACTGGGAGGCTGTTTATTACAGGTTTATTAGAAATCTTGTCAATAACTTACTTGTGCTTTTGATAACTCTGTATTTGGTTGCCAGGAGACTTGTGTTCCCGATGAGATAAAATGAACAGGAAATCCTCTATAGCCTTGTCACTTTTTTCACTAGTAAATAAAAGATCACAGCAACTGATCTAAAATACTGGCTACTGTAAACAGAAGCGAGAAAAAAAGACAAGCATTGCATATTTTAAATAAAGGAACATACAGCCCTTTTTTGCCCTCTCCAATTATAAGATGATAACAGATCACCTTTATAAAGTAGAATGACCGGATTTTGTGGAACGTGGCTGTTTTGGCTCCAAGGTATTTGTAGCGTTATAGTATCAGAGCCAGGATACAGCTGCCTTGTGACTAAGACATCGTACCCTGAATAAGTGCTATCCAATCCCTCGACGTCACCAGACATCTGTTTCCTGTTTTCATTCTTTCTTTCACTGTTATCATTTTATCCAAGTTACCCTTTCACCTGAAAACCATTTAGAGGCCCACAGAAAGCAGCGCATGCACGCGTGTGTATCAAAGAAGTTGATTTAGAAAAAAAGAAATCGCTGAAAGCAATTTGTTCATTTTAATACAAAGAGCAGAAATGGAAACAAACTTGCCTTCCCCCGTCTTCTCCTCCCCAAAATACACAATGATACATAAACACTTTTGTCTTCTGGTCTTCACTAATATGACTAACTTCCTTCTTCGCTTCCAGTTAAGTAGCTTTCCTGTTGAGTACCACCACCTCCACAAAGTACAATTGTGAATTGATTCATAAAAACAGAAACATTATGGCACAAATAAGGGAAGGCAATAAATACTCTTCCCCCCCTCCAACTCCTTCCCAAATGGAGGCAGTAGTATTGTAATAACAAAAAGTTTTAAAAAAAAAAAAAGTATTGCTTGTCATTTAAGGTTCCAAAACAACAATCATCAGGATGCAGAACAGGATACATCTAAAGTGAGAAAGTTATTTACTTCACATTCAAGTTAACACTAACAGTACTTTTTTTGGCACGGAGTATTATTCTTAATGTGCCAAAAGTGTTGGGCACCGCATAAAATATGAATGTTAATGCCACTAAAACCAAATTCCTGCTATTCATAATCCAATTTTATATTGGTGTTCTCTTGTTATGTTTCATCTATACTCAAACCACAAGTTGGGAGAATGACCATTACTGATACCATCTAATACGCATTAACTACAAACAACAGAAACTGAAGAGTAAGTTGCCAAAAACTAGTGACTTTCTGTTCATAATGTCTTGATTTCAGATTCAGTGAAGGAGAATAGAAGACTTGTTTTATTTTATTTTGTGATTACAGATGCTCATATTAATTGACAAGGCAGATTGTTGAGTGAAGCAAAAATCCGAGAGGGTTGATAAACACCACCAAAAAATTCATCCACTTCTTTTGGTTCTCTGAAAGAAAAAAAAAGATTTAAAAATTCTTTTTCTTTTCCCCCTCCTCATCTTGAAGCATACCAGCAAAATACAGGTGTTATACAGGAGAAACAGGAGGTTTTGGTACACAGGTGGCTTTCCCTATGAGATGGGAGTTTGGCAGCTACAGGAAAACCTAAGTAGCATTTCCAAAGGCACATGAAAATTGGAAAGCAAGATGATTTCTTGTGTTCTGGTCTCCTGGACTGTTTCCTGAGTTCCAATAACCAAATTATCCCTATTTTAAAGCTACATTCAGCTTCCATTAAACTCCATAATTATGAAGCATCTCATTAACTTCCACGGAGTCAGGGCAAGTTCCGACAGATAAACTTGGTCCCCTCTCTCATCTTTCTTTACTGCCTCGTTCATCATCCCAAACGCCCAATCCTAAGCCTCCATATGAAACCTACAATACTCTTGCACAGTAATAACTCAGCATTCTGGAGAGAGCGATGCAACAAATGTTTGTTGAAAAATAGTTTTCTGAACTGTATCAAATTGGTGTGATAAAAATACTGTTTCCTACAAAAACAGTTTGTTCATAACTTTTCACACCATTTAAATTAATTTGTCCATTGTCACATATGCAAACTGTGACCATGCTGAAAGCTGATAACTGTGTACTTTGTCCATCACATCCCCATCTTTCTTCTACCATTGTCACTGTCATTCACTGACTCTGGATCCTGCTATGCATTTTTACTGATGACATTACATTTGTGTCAAGACAAGTTTTAAATTCTGTTTGAATAATAAAAGCTATTGATTTAATAAAAACATTTTTTAAGACAGCTTTTTCCCCCCCCTTAATTTAATCTAAAGTTATTTTAAACTGCATAGCCTGTCTTTCTGAATTCCATACAAAGGACTAAGACAAAAATCGAGACTTCTCAAGCTCCAGTGCTATAAATAGCAATAGCAAAATCTAAAAACATTGCTATGGAATTGAAGAGGTTAATGAAATCTCTTCACTTTGTTATTTCTGGTTGTTTTTATTTCCCAACCAAAAATTGATAGTCTGACCCTCAGAGGTATTCAATATACATTTTCTCAAACTTATACTGTAATTTTATGCAATATGATTGCAAAACCAATAGTTTTGTACAGCCAGGTTTCCAATTTTAAATTGAGAGGGGAAAATACAAACTAATTACTGGGTCAAGTTACACTTCAAATTATCCTCTGAAACAAATGCAACATTGAGAACTATTTTCTGAAAAAATAACTGGCAAACCATAGCAGGAGAAAGTGCCCAAACTCACACTTTGTGTCAGACTCTACATTGTTTTCAGATGTTAAGACTTTTGATACACTGTATTATGACAATAAAAAAGCTGAGAGCTACACCAGAAGATTACATGAACCAAAATTTATGTTTTGTCTAGTATAATAGAAGTCTTACAAAAACAAACAAACACACAGCACTTCTATCCATTATTTCATACCCAGATGTTTCCTGTACACCTGCAGTTGTCTCCAGTCCTGAATTCACGAGCTATAGTATTTCAACAGATTCTCGTCAGTTGGTTTTAGAATTTTCTTGTCTGCCAGGTTTACAATCCATCCTGGAGCAAGACCAAAAAATATCTGTCTAGGATCCTTGCGTGCGCTTAACATCTTAAAGAGTTCATCCTTAGTTATGTCTGGTAAGACATAGCCATATTTCTTGGCAAGATCAAGCCTGGCTTCTGCCACCTTAGCTGGGTCTGCCAAGTAGCCACGATTCCTGGCATCGGTGTAGTAACGGACCAGGTCCTCAGGTGGAAGCATCCGCTTTGGGATAGGTTTGCCACGCAGGAAAAATAGCATTGGCTTACATAAAATTTCTGTGAGCAAACATGAGAGAAAATCAGTTACTACACTTTATAACACATATTTAAAGACATTAAATCACATCTTATTTTGTACTAAATAAATTATTACGCTCTAATTAAAAAGCAAAAACCCAAATCTTAAGGATATTCTTGTTCAGAATGAGAGAGTGGTTTACAAGTTTCACTTAACCAAATAAACAACTCTCTTTTAACTGATATTTATAGCGTTGGTCTGGATGAGTCATAACTTCTAACACATTTAGTCGTTTCTAACACATCTAGTGGGGAGGTGTCCCTGCCCATGGACTATTTCCAGGTTAGAAGTAATGTATTTGCATCGCTATTTACACGGTGTACCAACAAATGTCAAATTTCCTGCATCTGTTGACTATTTTAAATAAAGAATCAATGGCACATGCACTTATTTAGTCTTCTGTGGGACTATCCTCTCCTCCTCAAGTTTTACTGATTTTGGCAAATTACATTCTAGATCCTTTGTACCTATAATTTTGATTATTTTCTGGATTGGAAAAAAAAAAGAACTTGTATCACTTCATGGTAACATATTTTGCACACTAAAAATGTTTACTCCTCTTCTTGTCAGCCTCATTCACACATGAAAGCTCCATTATTGTCAATAAAAACTGCATGAATGAATGTTGTGCAGGATGCAGCCTCGAGCAAAGCAAAGCCTCATTCTTCAGTGAAAGTGTTTGGAAAACAACATCCATTTTAACTTGAACAATTCTGAGCTTCTGTAACTTACCCATTTCTTCACTTCAAATGGAAAAGTATTTTAAATTAAAAATATAAATATCCACAGTGGTTTTTACATCTGTTTCTCCCTGAATTTTCTTAGTGTTATTAAACATGTAAAACAGAATCAGAGAAATATTATTAGTTTCTCTATTTACAAAGCTACTTAGATTTGTTTAATTGGCTGATTAGTAAATGACTCCTAACACTGGTAGGACTAAGCAGGTGAGTGGTTAAGAAAAGCAAAACTGAGGATGCATTACCATTCATCACGGAGGGCTGAAACTACATGATCTTTAAGGTCCCTCCCAACTCAAATCATTCTCTGATTGCATAAATATTTGTGTAACTATTTGTTGTTTAAGCCTTTAGAATAGAAGAAGTGGATGACCTTCTATTAGGAACTGTGTTTGAAACTTTGATTTGAATCATTTAATCTTTGCACATTAAAAAAAGAAGAAAAAGGCATAAATTAAAAGCAGTTCTTACCCAAACTCCTTGGGTCATAGAATGATGTTGTTACAACACCTCCATTTTTTTCCACAGCTGCAATTGCTAATTCAGATGCTCTCTGCACTTCAATATTTATTTTTGCTGAAAAAATATCAGCACCCTGTAAATTTCAACACATATTAGAGCAACGTTAAGAGGAGCATTTTAAGACATATATTTATTCTTCTCTGAAACTTGTAAGAAACATTAAATCCTGCAAAATATTATGATTTGCCTGTTCCCTGCACCAAGGTGGGTGGACAAATTGCTCTCAGTCAGTCACCCGGGTTGAATGAAAGCAACTTCGCCTTTCCAAAATATTCAGACATTTATTTCAGTACATGTTAGTCTTCTGTTGCAAAATACTTGTTCAGCTTTTTGTTGCATGCTCCTTACCTCTAATTTTTGCAGCCTCTCAGGTATTAAAAACCTTCTGGGAGGTTGGTTGGGTTTTTTTTTTTTTTTGCTGACACACAGTGCCCTCTAGTGGATTTATTGTCCACAAAAATTCCACAGCAAACTAATTTGGAAAGCAAAGATTCTTCCAAAACCAGGGAATATGACAACCTGACAGCCTGGTATGGCAGAACTGAAAGCCTGAAGTAACAAGTGTGTTGTATGCATACCTCCTCCACCAGCTGGACACCGTAATCCCTCTTGAGAGGCTGCACTGTGACACCTCGGGCGTTAGTGAGCTGCGTTAGGTCAATTGGCTGCGTAGGGTCAACTCTCCCCAGATCAATCAGGTACTGCAGCCTCTGAAGACTGAGAGGTTGATACTGACGTCTGAGGCTGGGGAGAGGAAGATAAAAAACCAAAGCAGACAAAACAATGAGAAATTTACAAAATTGAAGCTGTAATAGCAACTGCTCAACTGGGATACTCCGTTTTCTACCTACTCTTAAAACTACCAAGTAAATGTGTAAACCACACCTGTCCCTAAGTCAGAATTGTAAATAATGAAAATAAAAGCCCTAATTACAGCCCAAGGCTCCACTATGCCTCCAGGTTTGCTCACACTCCCAGCTCCAACATGATATTAATCACTTTGCTGTTGCTGATTTCATTTCACTCGACAATACCCCTCTCTCTACCTGTTGACTGGTTTAAGGAAACAAAAAGGAGGAAGTGGTTAAAGTGCCACCACTTCTTGGTAAGCCAACAAGATTCTAAATAACTACCACCTCCAAAGTGAATCCAGCTTGGCAGCTTCACTGATACATTCAGAAAAGCCAATAAAAAAGTATACAGTCAAAAAACAAACATCCCCTCTTCTCCCATACAGATTTAGTAAAAGACTATCAGCCAAACCTTGTATGTGCTCCTGCATAACTCACATCCAAGATTTTTTTAGTCCATTACCCTTGCACCTGACATCCCAGAAGTACTGCATGGAATCTTCCTCAAAACACCATCAAGGAAGAGAAATATTGAGGAAACGTGCATTAACCCACATCCCCAAAGGGAACTGAAATCTTCTGTCAACAGCCATCAGCTTCAGCAGAACCTCCTTTTGTGTTTTCTGAAGTTCTACCTTTACTGCACAAAGCAATTCTTAGAACAGGTTTCCCAGTGCCAGTGCCTGTGCCTGCTGCACACCATTTATGCTGCTGCTCCAAACTTCCTCATACAATTGGTTTGACTGCTGCTATTGGAAATTTGTGAGTGGTAGCAGAAAAACTGGGAAGCAGCTGATGTCTCTTACTGGGAAGCAATGTAAGGAAGACAAGCAACAGCAACTGTACTGTCAGACAGTCCCTAACAGAGCACAAGTCCAAGAAGTGGAGGAACAGCACTGCAGACAGCAAGAAGAGTGAAGGGAAGATAAACAGAGACATTGTTCAGCATGCTCCCACCCTGCCACAGTATCACTCTCAAGTGCACCCAACATGTTCACTACAGAAACATTTACAATAGCCTGACATTGAGATTTTGCAAGCAACATCGAAACTACAGAGTACTTTTTTTTGTTTCCACATGCTCAGATGTGGTTAAAATGAGCAAGACCCTAATAATTTCTTGTCACTGCAGGAGTTTATTTTTTGCTGTGGGTTATTCATGAACTTGTGACCACTATTAACATAAGCAGCTCAATGTCTGCATTCTGCAGCATTTCCCATGGATCTACAGTGTCTTCAGCTATCGAAACTGCTTCTTGCTTACTCTTAAAATAATTTAAGCAAACATGAGGAAATGACAGTACTTGGAAACAGAATTTGAATCACACTTCAAAACTATTAAGACTGAGGGAAAACCTTTAACAACTGAGGCAAGTCGGTAAGTTTTACTGCACACAAAGAATGGAAATAGGAAAAGGCACAGCTATTTGATGAAGTTATATCAGCAAATGGAACACGAAATCAAACTGAAAGCTTAACAACTCACAAAAATATATACATTAGTCTTTTCATTCTTGAACTGTCTGCTAGATGAGGCATGTTTCTGTTACTACTGCCTATAACAGCACTGTATGGACACAGACGTTTTCAAGACCAGATCTAAAAGCAACAAAATGGTAACTGACCCAGGGAACATAAGTGGTATCTCAGGAAACAAAACCAGCTTTAAACAACACCAAAATACTTAAAATCAAAATTTTCTAATTGACAATGCAAGTGAAGGAACTTTGGAAAACACTGACATTCGTCTCGCCAGCTAACAACAGAGACTGGAGAAAAGACGTTAGAACACTTTTAAACATGAAAAAGGTGGAATATGGACAAGGCACAAACAAGTGCAATGTGAAAAGAGGATAGAAGTGTCAAACAGCACAGAATGTCTGACGAAGCAATGGTGAAAGATGGTTTAATGGCCTCATCCAGTACATTTGATATTAAAGAGCTTGTTAAGATCCTAGGTGGAACAGGCAGAGCACAGAGACCGCAGTGTCGCAGGGCTGAAAAAGCAGAGTCATGAAGAGAAGCAGAATTGTTTGGCTAGTGGCAGATCAGAGCTTCTGGTGAATAAAGCAAGGAGAAATAACCAAGCAAGGCTTTGGATTGCACTTCCATGCCTAACACGACATGACTCGAGTCACTGGGACCATTCCCAGTTAGTTCAGAAGGTTATCAAACAAAGAGGAAAACAGGGAGGTGTGGAGAAGTGGCCTCAGAGGAGACATGCACTTGGCTGGAAGAGGAAGGGGAGTCTGCTACACATGAGGGATTTTGCAGAGAAGAGGGTAAATGAGCAGATGTATAAAACAACTAAGTGAATTAATTAAGAGAATAATCCCACAAGAAATGGCAGATTCAGATGGTAAGGCAGCTAACAATCTGAGAGGAATCTGTTTTGGCATTTTAGATTCTGGTTTCAGGAGAAAGATCAGGAAAATCAGACACTAATTAATTTCCAAGTTAATGTGAAGAAACTTACCTGTGTCCCTCATTAAACCCATATTTTGGTATGGCCAAGTAAAATGGAGTTTGACCACCCTCAAAGCCTAATCGAGGGCGATTTCCTCGTTGTCTCTCTCCTTTGTGACCTCGGCCGCATTTCCTACCTCTGTATCTTCCACGGCCACGTCTTTTCTCCTGGAAAACAATCAATGATACATTTAGTTAACTATATCAAAGGTAAGTGCCTAAAACCCACAAGATTTCAGAGGTATAAACAGAGATAGAAACCCCGTAAGATTTCAGAGATAAAAATATGCTGATTGTCTAGGGAAAAAAAGGAGACAGGTTTTCTCTGGGGAAAAATAGGAAAGCAGATACTGTGATTTCTGCAGAGCACAGCTCTAGGCAGGCACCATAAACAGTCTGAGGACAAGTCAGTTTCCTCTGGTGGCAGGGATGGTTTAGGCCAGCACAAAACTCCACTTGAACTCTATACCGTTTAGCAGCTCTAGGAAGTCTTTAGCACTTACAGGCAAGTGCTGCTTGGTGCTCCCTGTCAGTTCTCTACTCCTGTGTGTTTAGCCTTTGAACCTCATCCCCCTCTTCACTAATATTCCACATAAACCGGGAGGGGGCTCTTCCTGGCTTTTTTTTTCTTTACTACTTTATTACAAGGACACAGGGAAGCAAACACTTAGTTTTGTTTTCCAGAAACTAACAGTAACACAAACTGCGAGCTGGCATCACCTTCCTCATCCCTGCAAGCTTTCTAACCTTCCCTTTCCAAACGTATCGCCCCTTCCCGTAAACGTCTGGAATGAAATACCTTTGACTATTTTCAT